TTTTTTTTTTTTTTTTTTTTTTTTTTTTTTTTTTTTTTTAAGTTGAATGGTCGACTCTCTCCCAGATGTTCCACTTGCCTGTTGAAAAGGCGCTGGGATCTGTGTGATTTCCCACGTGGTGACTCACTGTGCTGGCTGAAACAGCAGCGCTGAGATTCGTGGCGCCTTTTTTTGCCTGGGAATCTCCTGGTCTGGCTCCCCGTTTCAGTCCCCTTTTTAATCAGATGAATGGGCGACTGTGCCTTCCCGGGGCTCCACTCACTAGCTAAAAGGGCCCCCAGACCAGTGTATTTTGTACGGAGAACCGCCATGCCGGGGCGCTGGCAAAGCAGCCACACTGGCCCAAAGAGCCGTGCTGGCGACCCGTGGGGCTTCTCCGCCTGCGAATCTCCTGGTCTGTGGGCAATAAAAATCCCTCTGGAAATGTGGCGTCCACTCACCCTCTGTGCTTTCACTGGGAGCTGCAATCCTGACCTGTTCCTAAACGGCCATCTTGGATCTTCCCTCGAGATTCTTTTAAATGATTCTCAATACTAATGAGTAGAATGAGGGCATTAGAGTGAACATCTGTGAGATCTGCGCTGAGTCTTGTAATCCACACTCCAAAGCACAGTCCAGGGAATCAAACCTGGACTACTAACAAGGTTGAGGTTGCTCTTAGACTCCTAACAAGGGGGCAGCCAAGATGACAAGACCCAAGGCTACCATAAAATAACACACATAAGCTGCCTACATTCATAAGGATGCCACTAAATAATCAAAGTAAATTTATTTTTGAATTACATAAGGATCATGAAAGAGGACCATTAACTCTCATGTTATAAAAACAGTAGTAAAATACAGTACACAGGAATGCCATTTGAATGACAACAATGAAAGTACAATAGCAAATGAAACATAGTAACTTTTAACTTTAAATACAAAGTGAAGCAATTTAATAAGAAATTTTGTTAATAAGAAAAATATATGTCCCATGTCTTTATTACATACTGTACAAAATAAAATATTGCACCTTTCATATAATAAATATATACAAAGAGTATGTTACAAATGAACTTTCTTTTAATTTAATAACCTTCAACATCAAATGTGATTGATGATTAACAACTCATGGGCTGGTGTGTCCTCCTCACTTTCCCCCATCCATTCCCAGTCACCAAACCCTCCACATACAGTAGTGCTCATCCCAGTGTCAGTGAGGCTGAAGTTAGAATGAAAGAAACCGCATGCTCAGGATATGGTAGAAAAACTCAACAAGTTTTTCCACAGAGACATCCTAAGCCGAAATTCACTGTTCAGTTATTACTGACCAGGGTCTAGGCCCATCACAACCTGCTGCAGGTAACTTTGTAGCCAAGAGGCTGCAGGCAGCAGGTGTACAGGCAGCTGAGACCCTGATAAAAGTAGTATGACCACTTATTTGGACTTGTGTGCCATCTAAAGTCATAACTGGTAGTGTACAGGGAAAAGACCCTATAACGAAATCAGCTTCAGAATTTACTATTTAATGCTAGCCGGAACCCACTTCAGCAACAACACTTACTCCAAACCTAACCTCCATCCTGACACTATCACACCGGCACTGGCCCCAATTCAAACCCAGTCCAACCCTGACCTAACCTGGTCCTAACCCTTAAAGCCAACTGTAGCCTTAACCTTAACTTCCTTTCTCACCTAACCCAATTCTAGCTCTAATCCTAAAACTAAAACTACCCCTTCCCCTTTTCCCCAAATCTTAAACCAAATCCTGACTCCAACCCCTAGTCCTTAGTGTAACTTCTAGCCTAACCTAATTAACTTTGGATTTACTGGAAAATCAGCTCAAAACAATTATTTACTATAAAAATTATTTTCAACTATTGTGTTTCTTATTTGGATTACTGTCATATAAATTTTCCAAAATAAAATCCTCAGGAATACTACTTTATGCATAAATTAGGTCTAATAAGGCTTTGGTTTTCTGTTTGTGTGCAATAGAATGGTGCTTAGAAAAAGTTTCATTCACAGCTCTTAAAGTTTTGAATATAATTCAAAATCAGTAGAAAAGGTTAACGTTCCCTCTTCTTTGACTTCCAAGATGCCTCATTTGGTCATAGACAGATTTCTGTAGTTGTACAAATGATAGCAATATCTACTCTGTGTTTTCTTCCCTGGGTGTTCTAAAAGCAAAGACAAGATGCCATCCCTCTGTGAATCCTTGGGTCAGTCCGTGTGACAGCCTAATCCAGAGAGAGGTTCTCTTTTTCACAGACTAAACTTAAGGATCTTTGAAAATGCTGTTAATGCCAACATCTTAACAACTACTGGCCAGAGCTTCTAAAATGTGAATACCTTATAAACCTGTTGAAAACCTACAACTCGTGAGAAGAGGAAGTCATCAGTCTCTGTGTTTCCCAAGTTTTTAGAATGTACCGCTCTGTGCTAGTCTACAAATCACAGGAAACAGGCAGCATATGATGATGTGCTCATAATCTTGGCAATTTCTTGATTTGACAGACATGATGAGCTCCCAAGTATAATGGCATGCATACTATAGTATTTTTGTTCATCCTTGAATACATCATTTAAAAAAATTGGAATATAAAACTACCATGGGAAAATTTCACTTTACATCTTAACAGTGGTGTTTTTGCTTCAACCTCTGATCCATAGAATCTACTTTTAAGAAATACATGTTTTTGAATCGACATGGGGAAAAGAGCTTTTATATTCTACTTTTATCTTCACAGCAGCATCCTGACCCCTCCAAAGGTTTATCCCTCTTGACATGACTGGCAGCACCTTTGTTTGTAGAGGTCTAGAGAACACAAATTAAGATGTTTTATAAACATACAGTAGTGAGTTGTATCTGTGCAGTCTCCTGCAAAAAAGAAAAGCAAATCTATAACATACAGCTTAAAAATTATTTTTAAAATACTTAAAAATTATTTTATTTGATGAAAAGCCATAAATTGAGATCGCAGAGTGAGATGAAGAAACCAGTTTTGGGTTAGGGCCACTGTTTTGTACTCGGGTCAGAAGTGCATTGGACTCCCTTTCAGCTCAGTCAAGTGACTCTCGCTGCTCTCCACGCCCTCCCAGCCCCTCTGGCCCATGCTGCTCCTTTTAGTGCTCAGAGCAGCACTAATGCAGGGTCATGGACTGTTTTGAAAAACTCACGAAAGGTACACACCTGCTCCCTAGAAAAATAAACCTACAGTTAATTTTTACATATAATTTCAGGACATTGGCATACCTACCCCAGCCCATCCATGCAGTCTTTGTTTTAGCACACAAGACTACCAGGCAGAAGAGGAGTGTGTGGAGAGACTGCCAGTGGCTT